TTTGGCCATGTGGAAGGGTCTCTAAAGATACCCAAAGAATTGTGAGGAGAAAAGTATCTCAGTGTCAGGGAGAGGGAGCTTCTAACAAAACATCATGAGGAAAGGATTCTACAAAGAGCAACTGAGGCAACTGAGTGAAGAAGGGAGAAGTGTTGTTGGGGACCCAGGACAGGTGGACTACCCTGGGGAGAGCTGTAGGAAGAGGGACAGAATCTGCTGAGGGAGAAATGAGTTAACACAGTGATGCGCTTTCTATTGCTCAGTTCAGGTTCACCCAAATGCTTCCTGGCTCAGCAGGCTGCACAGGCTTCTACTGCTTATCACCAAAGACATACAGGGTTTAACTTTCTGGTACAGAGTAGAAATCCATGAGTTTTGGCTTTGGATTTCTGATTTTACAGTGTTCATATATTCCCTTGATAGATAAAATCAGGGGCCTTAAATGTATCTTCTCAGTAGCTATGCGCAGTTCCAAAATTTATAATGCTATGTTTTCATGGCTTTGCTCTCAAGTTTTAATATTCAACTTTCAGTTAATACCAGGGTATGTCTTACCAGTGTGTTTTTTAAAGATGAATGCATGCATACATACATACATACATACATACATACATACATACATACATATATATATAGAGAGAGAGAGAGCAGATAATCTAAGATGTCTGAAATATATTCCTATCCAATTTATACTCCTTAAAATTTGTCATTGCTTTCCCAGGAGAATAAGATTAGCTATATATAGGAAATTATATATTGTAAGTAATTCCTTTATCTGTATCATTTATGAGTTTTATTATGAGTAGAATAATAAGCTTTCTGTATCCACCACTGAATTTTCACTTAATGAATTGAATTTAAATTCACTTGATTTGTATTAAACTTACTTAATGAGGTCCTTCACTTGTTTTTTTTTTGCCTCAGAAGTAAGTCAAGGCCAAAGGAAGACTCTGAGCAATGTATTATCCTACACTCATTGTTTGCATAATAATTCCTACAATTATTTCTAACTTTTTAAACTTAGATATTTACTATTGATGTATTAACCTGTTTTGTCTCAGTCACTAATACAAGACTTGTCACATTCTCTCATTCTCATGAGGGAAATCCTAACCTGAAACTACATCATAGGGGAATCTCCATTCTTAGGTGATGGATAGTGGTGTGGGGTTGTTCCTATAGACTGCAGGTATGGTTTTCAACATTTGAGTTTATGGAAAAGAGTAAACCAACATATTGGAAGTTTATTTTCATCCATCTGACATGCCTGAATCCTCTGTTCAAAATACAAATGAGAACCCACTTGGAGGATTTATCTTCATGGGCAACTGACTTCCTGGTTCATCTCTCTTTTCCCCAGGCCTTCTGTGTGTTCCTTAAAGAGATCTTAGGCTTCTAGGTAGGAATGGTTACCTCTGCAGCTCTGGGCTGTTGCAGCCTGTTCCTGTGCCTGTACCATTATGCTTCCTGGAATAAAAAGAAGCATCTGTCCTGTTCACATGCCTCAGTATTTTATGTGGACTGTGCCACCCCCCTTCCTCAATGATTTGTGTTTTGTCTGCCTTTTATTTTATGCCATCTTTTTCTCCCTTTTGTCTTCGTCCTCAGTCTTCTCAAGCTCCCTTGGCACTGGGCTCTAAAGAATTATTTCTATACTAAGCAAGTACACTCTGTGAGTGCCACCCTGTATTGTTATTCTGGTTCCCACCAGGGTACCAGGAAAATTTTCCCTGAACCTGCTGCTATTTTCTTACTAGCAGTGCCTCTTCTCAGGCTAACCCCAGTGGGCTGTTCCGGAGCTTCTTATATGTGTATGTCCTGTGTAGCCTTCCTCCTCACAATTTTCCCTCCCTCCCTCCATCCCTTCCTCCCTCCCTCCCTCCCTCCCTCCCTCCCTGCCTCCTTTATCCCCTCCCAGTTATATTCCTCCCCCCTTCTCTCTTATGACATACCTGCCCTCTCTGTTTCAATGGGAACTCAATCTTAGGATGTGTGGGAAACCCTGCTCTGCTTTACTGTTTACTCACATGGCTGTAGGCCACATTTCTGTGGCAAAGCTTTTTCCCCCTTTAATCTTCAGCCAGGACCACTCTCATGCCTCAAGCTTTAGATGTTATCAGTTCTTGGCACCCTCACTGCTGTGTCTCACACTGGCTGAAATCTCACCTTAAGGTGATCCTGTTTTTCTTCCCAGTTCCCGACTTGTCCTCCAGCAGAGTCCTGCAGACTGTTCAAAAGCCCATGTCAGAAACCTGGCGGCCACTGGAGATACATATCTGGACTTCTCCCCATGCTAAATCCATCATGATATGATGCTCCTTTCTTCAAAACAGAACCTCAGCCACCACCACCCTCTCTCTACCTATTCCTCTAATAGTGTAAGGACTAGGTGACTCCAGTAGCCTCTGGGTGTTCACTTTTGAGTTCTATTAAGTGGTGGCCAGCCTGACCTCTTAAATATTCCAAAAACTATTCTGCACTTGGCATGAAACCTTGCAACCACTTAACTTTTTGACATAGTGAATTCCCACTTCCTCTTCATCTCTCTAAGATGATATGTGACCTGACCCCAGCTGCTTCTCTGACCTAGTGTCATTGGTCCTCATGTACAATGCAAAATACTTCTTCACGCCCTTGAACAGCTCCCCACACTCTAAATCGAGGCCTCCACACATGTTCTGCTCTCCTGGAATGTTCTTTTCCACTCTCTTTAACATTTCTCCGAAGTGTGTACCCCCTCAGAAATTTCGACTCTCAGGAGAATATCTCCCACTGTTCACTTTCCAAATTGGACACTCCCCTCTAAGTGCTGTACTCTAGATCATAATATACAGTGCTCCATAGAGCTAAGCGTAGTTTATCATGGTATACCAAGAGGGGTGTGGGGTGACTGAAGGCACAGTCTGCTTGAATCCTAACTCTCACCACTTATTAGCTGTATGTCTAGGGACAAATTATTTTAAAAATAGATTTTTTTCATACAATATATTCTGATTGCCATCCCCCAACTCCTCCTCATAGCTCTTCTCATGCAAATTCAAACTCTTTCTGTTTCTCATTGGGAAACAAACCAGCACCTTATGAATAATAATAAGAAAATATTTAGAATGAAAACAAACAAATCAAAAGAGGACAAAAAGAACAGAAGAAAAAAGGTCAAAGAAAAAGCACAAAAAAAACATAGATACAGAGACGCACATTCATGAACACACAGGAATCCCATACATACACAAAACCAGAAGCCACAATATATAATCTAAGGACCTATAAGATAAAACAAAATAATAGTAAATAAATAATAAATTCCCTGATGCAACATTAAGAGATAAAGATCTTCCAAAGATGCCACTGAGTTCATTTTATGTTGGTCATTTTTTTCAAGGCATGTGGCTAGGTATAACCTTAGTTTGTTCCTCTACTGAGAGGAACCTTAATTTTTGTCCTTGAAAGTAGCTATCACTTGGAGATAGCATCTGAGTTATAGATGGCAGCTTGTGTCTACTTCTCACCTCAGCTCTAGGACCCAATCTTGGGCAAGCACATCCAGGCTGTATGCAAACTGCCACAGTCTCAGTGACTTCATATGTGTGGTGGTCGTGTGATGTTAGAGGGCCTTGTTTTTTGGTGCTCTCCACCCTCTCTGGCTCTTACACTCTTTCTGCCTCCACTTCTGCAGGGTTTTCTGAGCCCTGAAGGAAGGGATTTGATGGAGACATCCCAGTTAGGGCTGAGTGTTCCAAGGGCTCTCACTCTCTTCACATTTTAGGGATGAGTTATTTAGCTTCTGTGTGTGAGTTTGCTCAACAATCACATTAGGACAATGTGAATGCCTGTCTTGAGGAAATTTTCAAAGAGGAAATGATTATTATTTTCGTTACTAGTAAATACTCCATAAGCGTTTGTTTACAAATATGTGGTATACGTGTGTGTTTGTATGTGTGAAATCTGCTTTCTGTCTGAATGCATTGTTGTGTGTTGTGATTCTTGGTTGCTACTAAATGGTTGCTTGACAGATGAATATTGTACTGCATCTTATAATTATGTCTAGCAAAAGAATGCCATACCATATTTGTATGATATATAATCATTTGTAATGCATGCATTAGATTTATTAAATTATGTTCCTGATTTGGGAATATCCTTTGAGAATTTATCATCTGCCCCACTTCTTCTCTTAAAACCATTCATTATTTTCATTTTTGCACATCTCTGGACCCCAGTGTCATGGGAATCCAACTCAAATTACAGATTTAGTGAACAATGGGACAATTTTTCTCATTTTAGAATCCTGGATTGTATTGCTGCCTTCTGTGTTCTCATTGTCTGGAAACACCAAGTGCAGTGTGAACACTTTTCCTAGAGTTAGAGAACTTACCCTGTTAATGTTAATGCTTTGCTCTAGGCCAGAACCACTGGACTTGGTCTTGTCCTATCATCACCCATCCCTACTTATAATAGTTTGTTTGTCCAGCATATTGCCTCAGAGATTCCCTAGCATTCATACTGGGTGCTCACTGAGGAATTATGTCCCTAAAAGGCTTCTGTTGTTCTCAGATTTCTTAGAAGGCTCCCTGTGCTTAGTTCCCAAAGAAATACTATTTAATTACAAAATAGCATCTGCTCATATCATCCTTACATCCTTTTTCTAAGGACTCCTTTCTGGTGAGTAACACGTAAAGATGCCTCCTTTTTGTCTGTGTCCCGAGCAAGCAGGCCACTTCTGGATTCTTTTTGTATGAAAATTGCAAGGTTCCTCACACAAATCAAACCCCAAATGTATAAACAGGTGAGATTCTTACAGGGTTTATGAAAGTGACTACTCGGGGATATAGTAAGTGAAAACTGCCACTTGGTTCTTAGCACAATTTGTTACTTAGACTTTTATTTTCTTTTCAAAGGAACAGGGTTCAAGGAGCTTGAGATACATGCAGTTGAGATTTGATGGAAACTTATGGTTGACTTCAGTGTCCATTGAAACATTCTCTGTTTTCTCCCTGCAGTTTAACAGCAATGCTCAGGACGTAAGCTGTTTCCAGCACCTGGTCCAGGCGAACGTGAGAAACAAGAAGGTGTTGAAAGATGCTGTGAATAACATCACAGCCAAAGGGATAACAGATTATAAGAAAGGCTTTAGCTTTGCATTCGAACAGCTGCTTAATGTGAGTATCAGTGTGAGGCCATTTTATTTCGTCATTTTTTAGACATTCTGGTAAAGATCACCGATCACCACTGAAATTTGCAGACAGGCTATGTTCAGAGATAAGAGCATGGTTGAAGGTGACAGGTGTATTAGTCAATACTTGGGTTTCCATCGCTTCATTAGAAGCTTTTGCTGTCAGTGTCCTTATGGGCTTGTCGATGTGCTGAGATAATATGAAATAGGATCTTGTCACCAATATAGGGAGGTCTTCATTAATTTTTGTACCAAAAGATGTGCTTTCTCATCCTTGGAAAAGAAGAGTATGGGCCTTCTATAGGCTACAGCACTACCAAGGGATTATTGATATTTAAAAAAGATAATGCTCAATTACAGGAGGGTCTCAAGGACTTTGGAAGATCGCCTACTTGACTGGCATCAAATTGCACCCTGACGCTTGAAGACATTGATAGAAGAACATAGTATATATTTTCTCCCTAACTTTATAGTGATTTCATAGTACTTTGATAGTACTTTGAAGACTACATTAAATGAAATCTATGACTAAAATTAACTTATTACTCTGCTTTATGAGGCCTTTAGAAAATTTAAAATCATGGGGTAGTTTCCCATTGTAAATCCTTTAGATGAACCAGTAGGCTCCCATTATACTTTTCAATAGCAGTAATCTAGAAAGTTGACATTTTCAAAGAAGCTGAGCATTCAGAAGCTAGTGTGATCCATTTTTCTCATCATTTAAGCAAACACATTCCATAATAGTAGAAAAGCTAAGACTGTAATTTGATGCCCCCAAGAAATCCAACTTGCTAAATTAAAGTGTTCATTTTAATGGCCCTCTGACGCTAATTCATTATTTTATACTCAGTTCTTTGAAAGACTTTAAAGGTTAAGAGGATTTATTGCCGGAATTGAGTCTTGCAGGATTAGAATCTGTGTGGCAGGTCAGGAGAGGACAGAGCAGGGAAGGATGTTCAGGGAGTAGGTTGCAGCATTTATGGAGCCTCAAGGAGCACTATGTGAGAGACTCTGCATGAGTCTGTCATCCCAAAATATTAGGCAAAAGTAATAGGGTAACCAAGGAAGGAAGAACAGAAAGAGTATCTGGAGACGGATTGAAAGGGCAGTGTGAAAAGTGTGAATCATTTAGAGCGAATGCTATTTGTTTGCTTCTGCTATATAATTAGAAAGGTATGCAGAAGAAACATTTACTCATACAAAACCCAAATACTACCCAGATACTGGGGGATTATTTTGTACCAGGTCCTGTCTAACTACCGCATTGTCTTACTTTTATGGGCCATGTGTTCTTTTAAGAAAACTATTATGGGTTTGGAGAGATGGCTCAGAGGTTAAGAGCACTGACTGCTCTTCCAGAAGTCTGAATTCAATTCCCAGCAATCACATGATGGCTCACAGCCATCTGTAATGAGTTCTGGTGCCCTCTTCTGGCATGCTTGCATGCATTCAAACAGAACACTGTATACATAATAAATAAATCTTTTTTTTAAGTTCTTTTTTTGTTTCTTTAATGACTCAACTGACAATTACACAAACAGCACTTATAACTTTTATTAATTGTGATTATTATTTTGGGGGCAGGGTCTCATGCATGCAGGCTAGTCTAGAACTTATTGTGCAGGAAAAGATGAGGAAGAACTTCTGATCCTCCTGCTTCCATTTCCCAGTGCTAGAATCACAGGAAAGTCACCACACCCACCTGGCTTTTATGGGTTCTGGGGCCAGAGGCATTATTCACAGTGGCCTGCTGGATGAGGGCCACACATGTTAGAGAGTGCAACTTGCTTTGCCTCTTCTCCTGATTCAAAGTCAATTTCTGCTCCAGAACATCACTGTAAATACAGTCAGTATAATTGACCAAATATCTGGATGTCTACAGCTTAGTCAAATTGCTATATAAACTAGTTATCATAATGGGGTAGTGTATAATGTTACTCTTTAAACCTATCAAGGTTTGCCTCATAGTTTGGAGGGCTCCAGTATAAATAAATCTTTAAAAATAAAAACCACTAAACCAACAAAATGCTGATTGTATACAAATTAAAATAAATTATTATGAAGAAAATATAATCTGGAGTATATTACAGTTTAAAACACAGTGGTCCAGGAATGTGTCCATGACAGTGACATTTGGTGGCAGGTTTGAAAGGTATTTGGCCATCTGTGTATCAAGAGCTAAGGCTGGCCTGATCCATAAACCTGGTTTTAGAACATACTACTGAGCAAACATTTTGCTTGTAGGATGTTATATGAGCTTGATTTTTTTATATTGGTTTTCTTTTCCTAATTTTCATTATGGATAATTTGCATATTTATTTTTAACAGTATAATGTTTCCAGAGCCAATTGCAACAAGATCATCATGTTATTCACAGATGGAGGAGAAGAGAGAGCCCAGGAGATATTTGCCAAATACAATAAGGACAAAAAAGTGAGTGTTGTTTTCTAATGTTTTAATTTTGACTTGTAGATGATTTTCATAAAGGTAGTCTGTAATGGTGGTAGGGGGAGTTTTTTTTTTTTTCTCCAAAATGTTAGTTGTAGTTATAAAATTAATGTTAATGGTGAAATAAAACTTTTTTCAGGTAACCAAGCTTCAAGATACAAGTACATTAGTCAGATATTGTAGATTTATAGGTCCTATTGGATTTTTACATCAACAAAGGAGAGAAATCTTGAGAAGAGTATAGGGAAACAAGACAGTTTCAGCCTATCTTGGATTATGTCTCCTAATCATTGAAATTGGTAAGAAGACTCAATATTCTAAATACACCAGGAAATTTCTACAGTGATATTTTAGATAGATCAAAACAGTTCACAAGAGCAAATTTATTCAGCCTGCTTGAAAATGAGTTCAATGGAAAACTTACGATGAATTCTCTGATTGGTATAATAATTTAAAGAATGGTATCCCAAATGCCATGGATAGTAGGAAGATCTGTGTTTTGCAATTGGAATGTGTTCATTTCTGGGTCTGTGGTATTGCAGTAGGGATGTAGTGTGGTTACAGGGTCATGCTGTAGAGAGAGTGTTATTATATTACTAAAACCTATTAAGATTGTAACTGCTTCAGTTAGGCATTTTACCAAAAGTTTACATGTATTTTCTTACTGACATCCATATTTATAATAGACACTGATTCTCAATCTGTTTTTCCTAAAATGGTAAAGGACCATCTTAAAAGTCATGAGGGAAGATACAATGTCTTTCTTGTGCTTAAAAATTTATACATTTATCCTAATGAAGACTACATCCACCATCAGCCTCCAGATAGATGGGATTACAGCTGGCTTTTGTTTTCTTTTTGATAGACAGTTTTACTGTTTGGGAAGATTTGGCTCAGTAGTAGCTCCAATAGATTGTTTTATAGCTATTTGAGGCATGTAGGTGGCTATTTTGCATATATTAGAAAGAAGAACTACAGACAATTGATGGTTACATGTAGAGGGAGAATCAGTCTTCTCTAGGTACAAACCCCTGAGAGGTTAGCCAAGAGGACAACCCTAAACACATATGAACAAGATCAGAATGTTTCATCTGGTTGTATTTATAAATATAGGTACATGTCTCTCACTTTCTCTGTGTCTCTAAATTATAATAAAAGAATAGAAAACCATGAATTTTAGAAGAAATGGGAATAACACTAGAAGAATAGGAGAGGGGAGGTGTGATGAAGAATGTAAATACACTGCTCAATATAATGTGAAATTCACAAAAAAAATATATATTTAAAGAAGCCATTTCTTTGTGGGTTGCAGTTCTATTCAAAACATAAGCTATAGGGACAAGTCAAGCCACCATCTGGCAAATCAATAAGTAATCCATGCCACATACATGCTAAGAAATGCTAGTTGGCCTCAAGCAAAGGGAATTCTGTAGTATATAACATGGTCGAACCTTGACATCATGTTTAGTGAAATAAACTCTTCACATACACACATGCAAATAAGTGAGCAATATATGTTTGCACATACATAAGGAATCTGCAGTAGTCAAGTTCACACACCATGAAGTTCCCAGGGTAGGGAGAAAATGGAGTAGATAATCATCTCATTTTAAGTCTGTGGACACATAGTTAATGTTTTACAAAATGGGTCCATGTTGCTGCATTGCAGCATTGTAATTGAAAAAAAAAAACCCAACCCTTTGTGTTTGAGTTAGATACATTTTTATGACTTATTTTATAGAGTAGTATAACATAATTACTCTTTTTCCCCTTCTGTTGCCTAAGGTTGTAAGAGCCAGAAGTTGAGGAAGCTTGCTAGAGATTGTGTTTCTTAGTAACAGCAAAAGCTACACTTCTAAACATGAGCTGAAAATCCATCTTCTTAAAAGCTAGTTGACGGTATATCTCATGTAGTGTGTTTTTACCACAACAATGCAAAAAATGAAATATATAAATATTATGAAATATTAAAAATTGTGATCTTTAAAAAAATACCTGAAAACGGCCATTTTGCTTCTACATTTTCCTCCCAACCTCTTATAGCATTAACATGGCCAATCAATTCTTCATTTACATTCATTTTTCCATCTAGGTGACTCAAAAGTCATTCACAACAGCCCAGGTAGGTGTGATGGGATGTCTGGACAGCTGATGAATGAGTCTGTGGATCCTCAGCACAGTTTAATGAAGCCAAGGCTTTGAGAATTAGAACAAAATGTTTGGGTTCTTTTTATGGAATGTCCTCCTCTTGGGAATCAATCTACCTGATTAGAGATAGGCAGAGATTTAAAACAAAATCCATGTTAATCTCCCAGAACAGCTGTTCCAAATTAAAACACATTCACTTTCTAATCTTTACCTGCAGCAATGACATTCCTTTGGACTCACCCATGTGAATGAGACCCCCTTAAAAATGGTGCCAAAACTAAAATGAGCTCCGATGAGAGCAAACATGCGAGTAAAGGAGAGTAAAGCCAGACACACAGTTGAAAGATGATTCCCAGGACAAGTAAAATCAAACACGTTTGCTTTTCTCTAGGATAGCAACTATTGTTTGATTGGCAATGCACAATAAGACTACCTCTCCAGGTAGAAAATAATTCTCTTGTGTTTTACTTAATTTTCAGAATTTAATTTTTTTAAAAAGACGACAATCAAAATTAATATATTGAACATTTCAAAGTATCTAAAGAATTAAAACAGAATTGTGAAATCACTTTCAATTACTTGTTGTAATTTGTTTTTAACAATTTACTTTTAAATATTATGGAGAACTCTTTCCTATGTTGCCATTGAGTTTAAGCAGAAAAGCATTCTCTGCTGCCTGCTAAAGTCCAAACCAAGTCATAAATGTCTGAATGTGCATTTGGGTTTTAGAGTACAAAAGACTTTTTGTTTTAACTGACAGTAGGAAAAGAATTCAAAGGAAATAATTCATTTCATTCTCTACTTTCTTTGAGCCCTCCTTTTCCATCAGGTGAAATTATAGCCTTTATAAGGAATTGTTCTGACACAAGTAATTAAGGCTATTTAGCTTATAAAATATTGAATGTCACTTACCGATGACATTGTTTCTAAAATCCTTTCTTTTTGATATTTTTGCACTTTCAACCAGTTCTAAGGGTTAAGAGTTGCAATAAGACCCACATACCTTTATTTATAAATCCCAACATGGTTTGTGGTAGAGTCAGGATACAGTTGAAACAATGAAGTACTGGACTGTTCTATGCAGAAATTATCACTTTAAATAGAATGTTTTGTGCAAGGTGTGTGTTTGGATATATGTATATATTTTTGTCTCTGAAATCATTTACTTCTCATTTTTTTCTGTTAAAATAAAATTAGTATTGACAGCTTACTTATTCTCTACACTAATAAAATACTTTCCAGGTACATTTTGTTCAGATTTGGTGAATATCACCTTTGCACATTTTAGATTTTAATTTAATATATAAATAAATCTCATGCCAAATGAAATTATTACCTTAAGTACCGAGTATATATTATAACATATAAACTTTAGATACATAAAGTGCAATTTAACTATGTTTTAGGTATGATTATATCCTGTTAACCTGGAATCTTTCATGGTTCAGACATAGGAGGGGCTATGCTTGGTCTTACTATTTCCATGGCTGCCTTCTGTTTAGAGTAAAACTCTGCTTCATAAATGCTCCCTCAGAAGGATCTCTTCCCAGTCTCTCTCAAGTGATCCTTTCACCTGAGTTTTCTTTGTCTTGTGAACCCTGAGTTTGCATTTTCATTAATTAAATACAATCAACCTTGGGTCAGGAGGCAGAGCCACCAACTAGTTGACAGGAAGTATTCATAGAGAGTCAGGTGGAGTCTGGAAGATGGATAGAGAGATGTACAGGAAGTAGTAGTGAGGGACTTTGAGGGTGATAGTCATCTTTGGTTTGGCAGAATGGAAGGATGCTCTCTTCACCCTCTCTGAGCTAGCAGGTTTTCACCCCAGCCTCTGATTATGGTAGAGATTTAGTTAAAAACTACATTTGTTGGCTGTGGTAGGAGGTGATCACTTCCAGTAACTGCCGAGCTACAATTACTGGAAAAACAACAAAAGGGGGGCTGGGAAGATTTCCTTCTAATCCAATAACATGAGGGTGAGTCATCCATCACATAGGTCAACAAGGGTCCAGTACAATCCCAACACAGGGACCTATGCTGTACATGCATCTGTGGGATAGATGAGACAAATGTTAGCTCGTTTGTTTAAGATGGTGGGCGTGAATCCTATATGACAATCACAGGCTGTTCTCCTGGTTTAACACTTGTCTTAAATTATTTACTTGATCAGATTCAACAGGCATTAATTAAGTGCTTCACCTGTCAGATGTTTGGAACCAAGATGGGTTTAAATTACGTAGACACAGGCCATATAAATGCTATTGACTCCTTAGCATTGGAGTTTGCTTCTGTGTAGTCCAAATGGGCTCATCTAGGAGGATTCTGTTTTTAACCACTTTAAGTTCTTGATGCAGGAAAAGCTTATGGCCTGCTATGGAAAGTGAATTGTGGAAGTTAGACTGCAGCATTCGAAGATAATAGTGTCGTCACTACCTTCTTGATTACTACAGCTGAGACTTTCTCAGCTTATGGATTCTATATGTCATGAAGACTTCACATTTAGTACTTTATTTACAGTTGGAATACTTGAACGATAAAAGTATCATCACCATCATATTCATTGACACACTGTTGAGATGGGAGAGCCAAAATAGGAGACATCAAAACATTTGTTGAAAGTCAGATAAGTGGTAGAGTCAAGAACTTAAATTACCAGTAGTCTAAATTTGACAGCCTCGAACAGAATCTATCAGTGCCTCTTCTCTGGCCAGCACTGAGGCTAATCATTTGCCCACACTGGCGCCTTCCTCCTACTCAGACAACCTGATGTCATCATTAGCTAGGATGTTCATTGACTCTGTAGCCAGGCTATAGTCAAGATGCATCATCGAAGCTGT